GGAAAGAGGATGAAATAATAATGAAAAGATTATCAATTTGCCAGCTGAGGGCTAATGAATGACACTGTGCTATAGTGAGGGAGAGGACATTCGGAGTGATGGTGTTTGTCTTCCCAAGTAACTGTCATGCATGATGGAGCCCTGCTTTCCTGGAGGTGGCTGAACACCCGCCTGCCATGGGAAGTGTGAATGAATTCCTTGTTCTGCTTTGCTTGCACACTTGGCTTTTGTTTCACCTGTAAACTGTCTTTATCTCAACCCACAAGCTTTCTCACTTTTACCCTTCTGGTTCTCTCTCCCATGCCACCAGGGGCGAGTGACTGAGCAGTTGTGTGGTGCTTTGTTACCAGCTGGGGTTAAACCACAACACACATATATCCATTAGGAATGAAAGTTTTTGCCTAAAGAACGGTGCAGGGTTGAACAAAATCTAGAAAAATTACATCACTTTTTAACTTTTTGGAACATGTTAGCAGAAATACACTATTTCTAAACATAGTTGGTTGAGAAGTTCATTATTAAAAAAAAACGCAGAGGAAATTGTGTTCAATTAGATATAACACATCCACTTGGAGTGTCTCCAGTTTGTGTAGCAAATGCTCTGTGACAGGACGCTGCTGTTGCTCTGTGGAAATGGATTGTCCTCTGATGGCAGAGAACTCAAAGTAATTTCCATTGCTGCTGAATGGACCAAGGCCTTTATAAGTTAGTTAACAGTTTAAAAGCTCTTATGCATTACATTTTGAACAAAAATATTTTTTTTAAAAAATGCATAAAATATTGTGAAAATATTATTGTAATAGCTTACTGTATAAAAAACACTCCCTACATTAAGAGAAAAATCTAAACATGTCTCCAAGGAGACCAGATGATCACCACTAAGCTTTCTAGAAGAAACACAATAAAACAATGTATGCAGAAATGGTCTATAAAATGGAAGGACTGAGACTACTCTCTCTCTGTACACATGTATGTATATTCATGTATATGAATACAATGTGAATACATTGTGAATACACAATATGTATATTCAGACCATTTGGCTTGGTGCGCATACATTGTTACTGACGAAAGACAATGTATGAAGTCTTTGCAGTATGCCTTGGTCTAGGTCACCTGGATTTATCTGTTTGTTTTCTCAGCACAGGTGCTGAGTTTTGGATTTCATTCTAATACCTGTAAGAAAGTTCTGGCTTGTATACTAGATTCTAGTATTTTCTGTTCTTTTGAATAAAAGATCTTACAAGCAAGAGTGCTAAAACTACCGAAACAGTTGGGCAAAAAGACCTGTCCAAGTACAGGACAAAAAATAAAGAGAAAGCAGTTACCTAGGATCTGATATATCTGTTCAGCTACTCCAAAAGAGTCTATAGCAGTTGCAGCTTCAGAAAAAGAAGCAATAACAGAAAGAAAACTTCTGATTTTTTAATTTCAATTCTGAGCTAATTTTTTATACCTTTTTATGTTCTCATCTATGTTTGGATTTATATTTAACCTCTTCTGATATTTTTTTATCTCATTAAAGTAATATAATAACACTGAGCATGAAAACAGCCTTCTCCTTAAAACTGTTTGCATGGAAGTAATACAGCTAGTGCTTCAAGTAATCTCTACCATAGTATAGCAGGAAAAAAACCCCAGTTTTGAAATACTAATGCTATTAATAGCATGTATGAAGATGAATGAATAAAAAAAGTTAATTCTCAAAATTGACAAAATAATAACTTCTAAGGAAGTTAATACATTATCCAGAGAGATGAAGAATGAGTCATACTGTAATTTTATTACTTGGATTTTACAGTGTTTCAGATCAGTGGTGGTTTGGGTTTTTTTGGTTTGGGTTTGATTTTTTTTTTTTTTTTGGTATATGCAAACTTATCTGTGAATTAAGCAGATAATCAGACTGTAGTTATTAAAAATGGTTGCTCGTATTCAGCCATATCTCCTTGTAAACCACACATATATAATTTGGTTTTAAAGTTTTTGGTTTAATTATAACATACTATAATTAAATTAAAACCAGTTAATCCCTGGGATATGGACATTCATACTGAAAAAAGTAATATAACAAAGAAGCACCAGCTGAAAAATGATCTCTGAAGTTTCTTTTGTGACCAGGTTCAAAGAGATTATTCTAGGGGAAATTAAAATTTTAATTATGCCTGAAAACAGAGAACTCAATGTTAGCTAAAGGTACTGATCTAAGCAGAATACGTATTATCCACAGAGTCTCTTTGATAACACTGGAAAACTGTCTCACTCTAAATTTGCAAATCCTATTCTGTTTCAGTTTGAGACTTCTCTGGACTGCATTTCACTGAATTGCAATGAAGTCTTTTGTAGCCTGGGGTTCTGTAGTTCTTTTACAATCAAGATTTCCCAGGAGTGCTGTAAACTGAAGTAAAGATGAGCACTAAGGTTTTTTTAGTTTAGAAAAAATAAATCAAAAACTGAAGCTTTGCTGTATTCCTGAATCCAGATGGAATTTACTTAATAGTTTGAGAGGGGAAAAAAACTAGAAAAATAATCACAAAACTATTGAATGGGAATGATGTGTTATGCACACCGGAGTAACATATAGCTTGGCTTTTTGGGACACTTAGGAGATGTGGGTTCAAATCCTTTTAGAGGAGACAATACAACAGAAGATCTGCAGGCAAATAAAAAATTAATTATTGACACAGCCTAGCCCTGAAGAATAGTTGAGAACATGAATAATTTAGAAAGTACATCTGAAAGCATGCATTATTTGAGAGCAGAGCTGAGAGCATGCTAACAGGACAGCATGGTGACTGGAGGTTTGCTGGACCACCACCAATCACTCGGTTGCTGTAAGAGGGCTACACCAGGCATTTGCAAATTATGAGGAATGACTTGTGTAGAAAGAAGCCTGCTGTGCTACGCAATGGAGGTTACCCTTGAAATCTTCAAGTACAAGCTACCCAAGTGAACCTGAAAGACTGTTTACTGTCATAGTGTGGAAAATCCACCAGTTCTTGAGCTATACCAGTGCTGAAGAATGGTATGCATGTATTTGCTGTCAGTATATCTGGTGAACCAGTTTAATATATATAACCCAGACACAGAATAGAAAAATCCTACCCATTATATAGAAATACTATGTTGGGTTTTTAACACATTATTCTATCTCAGTATACTTTTATTTTACAGGAGACTATGTAGTCATGTCTGTTTACTTTAACCTGAGCAGGAGAATGGGTTATTTCACTATTCAGACCTACATTCCCTGCACACTTATTGTTGTGTTGTCCTGGGTCTCTTTCTGGATTAATAAGGATGCAGTTCCAGCCAGAACATCACTGGGTGAGTTGGTTTTATTTCCTGCTTTTATTCAAGCGTTATGATGTTTAACTGACACCTCTGTGGATCATCAGTTTGTAAATATAAAAGGAAACACAATTTCACAGAAATTATCCTCATTTAGAGGGATTTAGTCATTTCCAAGGAATAACACAGCGTAAACCATATTTGCATCTCTTCCATTTTACTATGTCGGATCCTAGCTCTTAGTATTGTAGACTGCCTACAGTAAAAACTTTTGCATCTTCTCTGATGACCGCAGTATTTTCTACAAACATCAAGAAAATGGGAACATTGCTGGATTAGAGGCAGGCATGCAGTAATTTTATTTGCTCTACTTCCATATCATGGTGACTAGCAATACAAATGAAATAAATACCAAGAAGGAATCAATCTTTCTGGCTGTCTATGTGCTGTAGTGGTAAAAAGGGGAGAATGTAGTACCCTGACTTCTACTTTAGGGACCAACCATCAAAATTAGGCTTCAGGCCACAAAATCAACTGAATTTGGTGGTATCTAAAATCCTATACATGAAAATGAGACATCCAATTAATTGGAATTAGTAATTTCTACACATGTAGCAACTGTTCTACAAAAACTAAGAGACCAAACTAACCTTGCTTGTGCAAAGCAGCTGTAGCTGTAAGAATTAGTAGAAACATTCAACTAGAGAAAGTTAAACACATTTTCTACTTCTGCATAAATCCACACAAGTGAGAATCATTTTAGATTTCTTTCTGCCTTTTCATTTCTTCACAGAACTACAGCACAAAGCACTGGAATGCAAAAAGAACAGCATTTTCATTCCAGAAATCCCTTGAAAAAAAGGGGATAGAGGACCAGTAGCTCCCATGACAAAATTTTAAGCATTTTAATGCCTTTTTCACATCCTCTCTAAAAAGAGGTTATAAAATCTGCTTTAAAGTACAAAATTAATAAAGGCATTCAGCTGTTATTTTAAATTCTACTTAGATATACAAACCAGACTGGTCCTTCATATTGAGAATTAGCCTGTTTGTGCCACTGAGGAAGTAAAATCAGTGGCATGAAATTAGCCATATAAAATGTGATGGATTTTAACTGTTCTGATGCATTTTTAATGTTCTTCACATCGTAGTACAGGGAATAATGTTTTGAAAGGAGAAGGGATGGTGAGGCATGTCAGAGTACCTCTCAGTTATACACTATAGTCACTTATGAAGGACAAAAGAGATACTGCTCTGGCATAGACATAATCTGACCTCACAGTATTACAGTTACAAGAAGCACTGATAGACTCTCCCTTCCAGCTTTATATGCAAGAAATCACTTAAATAATGAGCAGCCAGATAATTTGTGTGGGGCTAGTATCTTTTGCATACAGCTAAAATGCATTTAGGCAAGAGAAAGGAAACAGTTTTATTTCTTTATGTAGCACACATACAAATCTACACACGTTTTGTCCTGAAGTTCCTCTGCTGGATTACATGCTTTCTTAGGAATTTTCATTAATTTCTACCTCATATAAGGGCTGCAAGTGTGTCTCCTCGAAGGATTCCACATTTCACTGCTGGGATGTGCTGTTTAATATCTTTGCTATATGTCTGAACTCCAGGCATACTTCAAAATCAGAGATAACTGGCAAAACCAGTCTGATACTTGAAGTAATAGTATTTCTGTTTTCTATTTATCTACCAGGTATTACAACTGTCCTGACAATGACCACCCTAAGTACAATTGCTCGTAAATCTCTTCCCAAAGTCTCCTATGTGACAGCAATGGATCTTTTTGTGTCAGTCTGCTTTATTTTTGTTTTTTCTGCACTGGTGGAATATGGAACTTTGCACTACTTTGTCAGCAACAGAAAACCAAGCAAGGACAAAGACAAAAAGAAGAAAAATCCTGTATGTATCTTTTTACCAGCAAGGTCTAGAATTTAAATAGGTTTTCTGAGAGAGCATTTAAATACCCTCTTTATACTTGTACTTTCTTTTCAGATTTTTCTATTGCATATATACTCTCCCTTTGTACTAATAGGAATGCAAACATTCACCTTGAGAATGAGAAGCTCATATGACGGTTGTCTGGATGCCAGAGAAACTAATTTCTTAGAATAAGGATCCTTTTAACCAAAGTGTTCTGCAAATCATAACTATCACCAAAACAATTATTTATGTCACAGATAGAGGTGTTACTGTGAGCTTTATGGAAGAACTGTCAGTTTCTCTGTCTTACCTTTAGTAATATTCTCTGCCATTAACTTATGTCCATATTATTGACATGATTGTTTTTCTTATTATCAGGACTACAGTTAAATTTTTATACTCAAACTACACAGTATGTTTTTTCTAATTTTCCCTTTAAGCATCTGTTTCCTTTTCATTGTTTCCTTATCTTCTTTTTCTTGTATTTCTTACCTCCTTTATATACTTGTCTCCCTTAGTGATTTAGCTAGTAGTTTACAATGTTGCTTATGGATACATGCTTTTAAAAAAAAATATAATAGCCACAATAAAAAAAATTACCCTCAGTAGGAGTTTGGGTTTTTTCCCCAGATACAGAAAAAATTTGTTGCTTATTTTGTCCAGGATAGATATCTCCTTGCCTTTTGCAACTGAGCTGAAAACTCTGTTGTCTGGAATCTCTGAGGTGAAAAAAAATAGTGTAAAATCCTATAGGGAAACTTAGCCTAATCGTCTACAAAAACCACCCAAATATGCCTGAGAAAAATGTGAAGAACAAGTGTTTTACATGAATAGGGAGTATTTTCAAATCCATTTCAGGCATCTAGGAAACAATGAAGTCACTCAGATTTGCTCTGCTAATATCTTCAAAGACTTTTGAAGATATTCTTTCTGAGTTATTACATACAGCACTAAAAGAATATAGAAAAAAATAGTAATTAAAGAACCTTTTATTAGACATTATTGCTATAATTTCAAGTTTAAGAGCTATTGAGAAGTAGACTCTAAAAAAAAAAAAAAAAAAAAAAAATGTACTCTGTAGTGGATAAACAGCCAGAAAAACATCTGTAAGACTATAGAGGAAGAACTCTCACCTAACTTTAGGTATGCTAAAGTTGGATTTGATCATATGCCTCTGGTTTAGTCAAATGAAAGAAAGAGGCATTTCCAGAGGATGATGCACCCTGGCCTGTGGCAGAAATTAAAGGCTGTCTGTGTCTGTGTATGTCCTTCACAATCAATTAAAGGAACAAAGATTAACTATCTCAAATTTAGTTGTCTCACTTAAAGATTTCCATATGAGGGTAGATTACTTGTTCTTTACATTACTCATCTGTGAGCATTTGGGAACAAACAGAACTATGAATGATTGCCTGGATCCTAATCACAGAATCTAAAAAACCTTAAAATTAGAGTGTTTGGGACCCAGTCTGCAGGTAAAAGGAATTTTTTTCTAAAAAGTGTTTTTATAAACTGTGAATGGTCTCTTTCAAAACAGTTCAACATAAAAGATTTCAATCCCCAGGAATATGAAAAGATCTAAACGGAGTTTGCTATCTTCTGTCTTTGGGCCAGATGTAGTTACAAGACAGTGCCAAGTCAAAAATGTGGGGGGGTTATATTACAGATATTTGTTTAAATTGCTGTTATCCCAACCTTTCTATAAATTTAGTTCTTTTTGACTTACTATGTTTTAGAAACATATTTTTAATTTACATTATTTTTGTCTCTTTCTTTCTTTCCTTTCTTTCTTTAATTTAAAACAAAACCCTCTGATTCTCTTTTCTGTCTACAAAATGAAAGCTTCTTCGGATGTTTTCCTTCAAGGTATAATGTTTTTTGGAATGGAAATTCACTGCATGCGACTGCTGAATTTAACTATTAGAGCTTATATGAGAGTGGTGTTTTGTTGGGTTTTTTTAATGAGACATCTAAGCATTCTACTCAAGGTAACTTCCTAATTAAGTAGAATGGTTACATATTTCTAAACAATTTGTAGAGTTGATTCAGCAGCCCAAATACTGATTCACGATGGTCCTGAACTTACCTAAGTTCAAGAGTAACCAACATTATTGGATCGCATGAATTAAGAGAGTTTAATGTTAAAACATTTCTGCTCCTCTCTTTCTCAATTTGCCATGGGATCCAATAGCACCAGCTAGACCAGAAACCCGCAGTACACCCTTTTAGAACTCAACTCTGACCTCGCCTTTTTAACCTTTGTGATTTCACTCCAAATTATAAACCCAAATCTGTTCTGATGTTGACCTGAATAAAATTCAATGTCATCATCAATTACTCAAATGCTGTTCCTTGTACAAAAAAGTCAGAGTTTTGAAAGGGTTTAAAGATGCACATTTTTAATGCTGTCACTGGATCAACACATTCTTAGCAAATTAGCAAATATATCTAGCCATGTTCCATACCTAACCTTATCTTCATTCAGAAATGCAGAGATTTCATAAAAAACCCAAACCAAACCAAACAATTAAAAAAAAAACCCACAGGGAAAAAAAGAAATCACATAAAATAAAAGCCAAGAAATTTACATACTTATGGAATGGAATTGTTGTTATTTTACCCT